AGAAGGCATTATTAACATCTAACTATAAAAGAGACTATCGACGAACTGCAGCAACTGCAAGTAAACAGCGTACAGTAGTAAGACGAGCAACCGGTGCAAATGTCTCTTCATAATCTATGCCATACTCCTGTGAGTACCCCTTAGCAACAAGACGAGCTTTGTAGCGCTCAATAGACCCATCTGAATTTGTTTTGATCTTGTAAACCCATTTGCATTCGATAGGTTTCTTGCCAGCAGGTAGATCAACTAGATCCCAAGTATGAGTCTTGTCTAAGGCCTGCTATTCCTCAGCCATAGCTTGTTCCCACAATGGATCAATACTCGCCTCACGAAAAGAGCTAGGCTCATGATGAGATAATATGGCCTAATAACAATGATAATCAAGTAAGTGAGAAGGGGGACGACTTACACGAGTCGACCGTCGCTGATCAATAGCTGACAAAAGTACAGAACCAAAAGAGGGCTTATTACGAACCGTCGGTTCAGGATGCACATGTGGAGCCACTTCAGAAGACGGAGGCATGACAGGCGTGTCAATGAGCTGAGAGTCAGAACCTGTATCTGTATCTGGAAAAAGATCTGAAGTAATAGACATGAATAAAGGAGACGCCGAATCAAACGGAATGTGGAACTTAGACAAGGAGGAAAAAGTAGTATGCTCCCAAAAGGTAACATGACGCGAGATACGCAACCTATTAGAAATCGAATCCCAACACCTAAATCCTTTGTGTTCTACCCCATAACCCAAAAAACAACACAGATGAGCTCGGGGTTCTAATTTGGTCCGCTCATGGGACGGAAGGAAAACAAAGCAAGCACAACCAAAAGGACGTAACTGAGTATAATCAGGAGACTGACCGTACAACCTCTCAAAAGGACTGACATCCCTAATGACTGATGAGGGTAACCGATTGATAGCATAAACAGCAGTCAAGGCTGCCTCACCCCAAAAACGATCAGGACACTGAGCAGAAAGAAGAAGAGCACGGAAAGTATCAAGAATGTGATGGTGCTTACGTTCAGCTCGTCCATTTTGTTGGGAAGTATATGGACACGAACGTTGAACTAAGGTGCCCTGATCAGAAAGAAATTTCAAAAAAGTAGAATCTTTGTACTCAAGAGCATTGTCACTACGCAAGACCTTTATAGGACAAGAAAATTGTGTAAGAATCATTTGAGCAAATTGAACATATATGCTAGACAACTCAGAATGATTTTTAAGAAAATAGATCCAGATAAAACGAGAAAAATCATCAACAAAAATAACAAAATACCGAAAACCACTCAGAGAAGCAACAGGAGAAGGACCCCAAATATCAGAATGTACCAAACCAAAAGGTTTAT